CCGGCGGGAGCACCGGGAGCGGCTGCGGAGGGCCCTGTGCGGGGACCGGGAAGAGGAGGGCTTCGGCCGCCACCGAGCCCAGGTAACGCTTCCCGCTGCGACGGCGCAGGGCTTGGTCTGTGCTCCCAGTAACTTATTCCGACAGACCATCGATAGTACTCAAGTTGCATCAGGGGAGGTTTAGATCGGATAGCAGGAAAAATTCCTTTGCTGAAAGAGCGGTCAGGCACTGGACCAGGCTGCCCAGGGCAGTGGGGGAGTCCCCATCCCCGGAGGGGTTCAAAAACCGCGTGGACGTGGCACTTGGGGACACAGTTTAGCAGGCACGGGGGTGTTGGGGTGACGGTTGGGCATGGTGATCTTGGAGGTCTTTGCCAGCCTTGATGATTGTGTGATTCTGTACCGCCCCGACGCCGCAGGCCGCTGGAGAAGTTGTGCGACGCAGAAGCGCGAGCGACCGCTCTGCTGAACTTGTGAAAAAATGGTAACGACGCCAGGTAGAAACCACGCGGCCCAAGAGAGCGTTCCCTGGGGGCTTAAAACGGTAGAAAGCGTTGAAATAATTTTTATATGGAACGTCCTCCCCTCCCCCAAAATGGCTTGGCGAGGGTCGGGGTCGGCGGCTCTGCGGCAGGTTCTCTGGAAAGCCGCCCTCAGCAAGGTGGCCAGTTTGGGAAATGGTGGTAATCATTTCACTGAAGGAGCGAGTGAAAATGTCACGACTGGAGCTTCTGTTCAGGGAAAAGCTCCTTTTCTGGGTGGCTGTCAGGGAGCAGCAAGGCACATCTTGAAAGCAGATGTGCCACTTGTTGCTGGAAGGTGGCTGTCACCCAGAACGGAGGCTTTCAGCGAGTGGCACTGAAGCATTCTGCGCCGCAGCGATGCTTAAATGAGGGTTTTCCCCCAGTGCCATTCGTTGCTGCCCCCTTGACGAGCGTTGGCTTTAAGATCTGCCCCGTATTTATGCAACCGAGCCATCACCTTGGAGCTCTGCAGTTTCTGGTCTGTAGATGGCCTCTCGCAAGGAGGGGATAGGTGTTTGTAACGCTGTTCAGCTGAACACATCAGGTTTTCATCGGGTACTGAACAGAAAAAGGTACAAAACAGGAAGGGTTGGGGTTTTTTGGGGGGGGGGTTTGTTTCTAAGTGTACTTGCAGTGCGATCCAATTCAGCCACTCCTAGAAAACTGTTCCACACCGCCGGCCGTGCGAAAGGCATGGCCCCTTTTTCTGTTTGGTGAGGACGGGATACGCACGTGAGGAGTGCTTGGGGGAGACGGGGACAAATTTCTGAGCCTTCAAATACATCCGGTAAACGCTTGTGTCATTTTAAGGCCCGAGCACATGTGGCAGGTCATCAACTAGCGGGTAGATGTTATGGTACTGAAATCAGAATGAATTCATAGCGCAGGTCCAAAAAGCGTTTATTTTGGCTCATTGACCTGCATCAAGTCTCGCTCTATCCCAGAATGAATCCTGGAAGCCCGTTTTCAGGGGGAACAGATCGAGGTGCAGGAAGTGTTAAGGCTGGACGCTGTTCTTGCTGGGTTTGAGGTGCCAGTGACTGGGAACGTGCTTCCTGCCCCAGACTGGCACGGTGGTTGTAGCTGCGCAGCGCGTCCCACCGAATGTGTTCGGAGATCAGGCCCTCCTGAACTCCTCCAGTCTGGTTCGTGCCGCGTCCTGGCTTCGGCGTAAGAGTGGCCTTCCAAGCTGTGGTGGTTTCATTCACTCGGGGAACGTGGACAGACCCAGATCAGCTTGGCTGAACACGCACAGCACATAGTCCCCAGCCTACACGGGGCCGAAGCGGTGTCCCCGCTGCAGGCTTGTTTCTCGCTTAGTGGTTAGATTGTAAATACAGCAGAGCCTCTCCTGGGGAATAATGGCTGACAGGGAACAGAGGGATCGGTGGCTTTCTGCCCAGTGTTCACGTTCACGGGGATGGTGAGACATTGGAGGCGATGGAGTCTGTAGCGTGGTTAAGGACTCCCCTGGCAAAATGCAGCTGTACTTGGACTTGGTTTAAAATCCTGTCAGGCGTCCGCGGGCTTTTTACCTTCACTTAATCTCTGCAATTTAAGCGCCCTCGGGGCTCTGCGTTTGTGAACTAAAACGGTTCACAAAGGCCTCTCCGAGTTGTCCTTCGGCAGGGCAGGGCTCCCGCTTCGGGGGCAGCCGGGGTGGCCTGGCCCTCCCCGGCCCG